GAATATTTAATCGGTTCAGTTATTATATATAACTTGTTTGATTATTTTTACTATGCGTACATTAGATTGTAGGGATATTTTTTATATTAAACTCAATTTTGAAAATATATACTAAGATTAAAGTTTTTAATTATTTTATTAAGTTTTAGAATTGCGTAGAGTGATGTTAGTTGAAATCTATATATACGAAGGTTAACATTTTTTCATTTAAAATAAAATAGAAAAGAAGATAAAGTATTGATAGGTTTGTAGTTGAATAATCAGACCAAACATACAATATATTATATTTTGTAAGCATTTTTTTGTTTTTTATTCAGTTTAAAAATATAAAAATAAAAATTAAACTAACAAATACTAAGCGAAAACATAATTTTACTAATGAAAGATTATTGTATCTTTAGTTATTTAAATATCTCAACTTATGTTATCTTAATTAGGTAACTGTGTATAATATTTTTAAATTCATTAAAGCTATTGGTTTATGTTATTTTTTTTTCTTTAGTTTAATAAATACTAGATTTTGACCCGCGCATGAAAAGCGCGGAAATATTTTATGATTAAAAATTTATATAATTGGGTTTTGTCTTAATTTAAAGAATATTTTGATATAAAATCAGTTCACCAAAATTTGTAGTGATGATTGTTTTTCATTAGTTTTTAGTTTCAGTTTTTATTCTTAGATTTTGGTTTTTGGTTTTTGGTTTTTGGTTTTTAGTTTTTAAGTTTCTACTTTTCATTTTCAGTTTTTGGTTTGGGTTTTTAATTTTTAAACCCGCTGATTTAGTTTGAACTAATATTACAACCAAACAAATCCAAAATAATCGAACATCTAATTTAAAAATGAAAAAATGAAAACAAATTTTTTAAAAAAAAAATTGAAATAGTTTATTTTGTAAATAAACAAAGAAAAAAAAATATAACATGTGTTTTCAGCTTATGGTTTTGGATTTTAGCTTTTAGATTTGATTTTTGGTTTTGCTTTACATTTTTTTAATCAGTAAATTATTTAAGAAAAATAAAACAATAAATTATTTAAAAGTTACCATTGAAATTTATCAAAATAAAGTGATTGTTATTTAAAATAAAAAATATATATTAACATGTTTTAAATTACATGATTTAAATAAATGATTAATAATAGATAAATTTGTTTTGTTAAAAATATTAAATATCTTTTGGGTCTGAAAATAATAATTGATTTTTTTGATATTTTAAGGTGAAAAGTTTATTCAATGTTTTTGGAGTTTTTTGCTTAATACGAAGCCCAAAAACCGAACTATATAATTTGTTCAAAAAACAAAAGTAAGCCCAAGACTATATTCCATAAATAACCACTGGTTTAATTTAAGTATAATTAGTAGATTTCCATATTCAATATTTCGATGATATATATTCTTTTAGAACATTCTATATTTTTAGGAGAAAATATGTGTTTTCGGTATACACATAGATACATGTCGTATTTTGAAGGTAGTTTACATTAAGGTCGTCTCTTTGCATTAATTGTGATGGTTTAATTTAAGTAATACGGTTCAATCAATTATATGACTTATATTATTTGTAACATTCTAGAAAGTGTCCAAATTTAAATGACAACTTGTTTGAGTAGATAAAAAGAATGACTCTATTTTAATATAGTAGATATTGGTTGATAAAAACTTATTTTTAGTACTTTTAATTGTAAATATCTATTATGTTCTTTGAGATTATGTTTCAAACGAAAAAAAATATAACTAAAAAGTATTTTGTTTTAAATTTCCATTTTAGGAAATCAGTTATATATACCCTATATACCAGATTAAAATATATTTATATAATTTTAAATATTTTTGTATTTTTTCTGTAGTTGTAAGATTTGAATAGTAAACTAAAGATCGTAAAAATCATTTCAGTAATATTAAATATAAACTATTTTTAGTCAATTAAACATATACTAGATTTTGACTCGCCCTTAAAGAGGGCGGGAAAACTATTTTTGCTTTAAATTTATGCCATTGTTTGATTATTCACAAGTATGTATAGACATGAGTATCCGGGTTCAGATAGATTGTCGTTAATAGTTTTGGTTTGGTCCAACATATATAGATTAAATACGATTACATAAAATTTAATGTGTGGTATAAGATTGATTTTTCTTATTCGTTTTAGTTAGATAACAAATTTTAGGGACCCGATGAAATTATGAGTTCTATTCGATAATCTAAAGTATTGATTTGTAATAGTTTATATTTTGAGTTCAAACTTATTTTTTATAAAATAAATAAATAATTTTAGGGTACTATTATAAACAATTTGGTTGATATTATTGTCATATAAAATAAATAGACATACAACCGGCTGTTTATTTTAAAAATTATGGTCATAAAAATTGACATTGTATTATATAGACGGTATTTGTTTAAAAAATATGATTAACAAAACAATTATATAAGAAAATAACATAAAAATTCAAAATACAACTGCGAATGATTATTGCAAGCCCATAAATAAATCAATACATCATATTAACGACCCAAGCCCAAGACAAATATACCGACAATATCTCTTTAATATATCTTGGACATGCGACTACCACATATATTTTCAAGAGCGGGATATATTTTCTTTATAAACTGATTTATACGAAACAAAGATTTGATAATTATAAAATTACATGTGTTGAAATTTTGCAACTTAATACATATATAATTGTGTTGAGCAGTGTTTTCATACCCGACACAGGTTTGAGATTGAGCAACTAAACTTATATATATTTCGGTTCAGATTTAACTAATTCACCGCTATTTTAAATTTTGATACAACTTGGTAAGAATCCAAAATCCGTTAGTAACATGTCACATGGCACTGATTGACCAGTGTAAAACTAAGATAAAATTGGTGATCTAAAAATTGATCAAAATTTTATATACTTTAAAAGAGTACATGAAATTGAATAGTATATTTGATTTGTGATTATTTACTAAGAGAAGTACTATGTTGCCTGATAAAAAAATAAAAGAGAAAGGCGATAGAGAACACCAAAATATATTACTCGTTTTTCAGTATTATTTAATTTTTATTATTGATAATATGATCGCTATTATTACTTAAATTTTATTTTTTATGATTGATATTATTTACTTGGTAGAAACCGTAATGTAGAAGGAATATGTTAGATATGGTTTTATGTTTATTAAAAATTGGTTGACATATTCATTTCGAACTTTTACATTCAAAAAACATTTTATGCATAAAATTTTAATTAGTTAACAACACACACATACACACACACACACACACACACACACACATATATATATATACACATTGAAAGAATCATAATTTGGTGTATTTATTTGATTTTAATTGTAACCAAAAAGTTTAAGAAGTTTAATTATAAAAACTTTATTTTATGATGTGAAATATTTATTGTTACTTGATAAAAAAATATTCACTTTCTAAAATAAATACTCCAAATAATATATGCTTTCAATCAAAGATGCATTTAATAACAAATAGTATTTGTTAGGTTAATTAATAGGGAGGAAAACAACGAAACCTAGTAATGATTTACATAAACATAATTTTTATGTTCTCTTTTAAATTTATACCTTATTGAATTTTTACATATTTGTATCTTGTTTATTGTGTTTAGAATCCATTTATAAACTATAAGATTGTACTTTTTATTATCGTTTTATTCATTTTAGTTAGTAAAGTAAATATTAAAGTGTAATCTATTAGAGATTTAAGTATATTTAGTGGGTTTTATGAAATTAAAATATGAGTATTGGAATTTAAAGTGAATATAAAGTTCAAATTTTACATTGGTATTTCATAAACATTTGAACTATTAAAACATGAATATAAATTTGAAATTGACACTGACTACTAAAACCAACTTACACTTTAGAAATTAAATTTTGCCACCGAGAATAACATAAATCTTTCAATCTAATATTAATGTCAATTTATCACAAATTAAAAAACCCATTCGATATCTATACCAATAATCATTGGTTTACTCTTAAACCAGCCCAATAATCTTTCAATCTATCATTAATGTCAATTTATCACAAATTAAAAAACCCATTTGTTATTTATACCAATAATCATTGGTTTACTCTTAAACCAGCCCAATTCCATAGATAGACCCAATTAGCATTTTACTCTTGTCTGCTTTTCTGCTGCGGCTAAAATTTCATTTTTTAACATGGCTAGAATTTCATTTATCTGCATAAAAAGGTTGACATCTATTAATAACCCGAGTGTGCTATAATCAAGTGCATATAATTATGTTTGTAAGTCTTTGGTTTGTGTATACATTCAGTTGTCAAATTTGTATTCGGTTTTGTGTATAGTAGTAGTATATATGTTTAATCATTAACCAAACCAAACAATCGTTTGGGAAAATACAAAATATAGTAGTATACATACAACTTTAATTACGTCAACAAAAAATCATATTGTCTAACAAAATAGCCGACATTAACTATATTTCTAAAAAAATTGCGTGAGATGTATGTGGAATATTGGTAATATATTCAATTGAAAAAGTATCCTTTATATACCTAAGAGTTTAGGAATATTGATTTTGTAGTTTAAATCAATGACATAATATTTTTATTAAAATTAAAATGGAGAGATAATCAAGGATATTTTGTTGGAAAAAGATTTGATGAAAAAATAATAGATAAAAACTATAGGTTTAAATAATGCAGTGGCAAAGATCTGTGAATACTTCCAAAAATCAAGGGGACTTAAAAAAAAGACCTTATGTTTTAATAGTATAGATATCAGTTAGTTTTACTTAAATGATTTATGTAATCATCTAAGAAAATAGATAGATGTAAAGATACTATTTCTATTACTTGGAAAATATATGTATTAATACTGTTTAAAATTATGATTTAAAGGAAATATTATAGTATTTAATATCAAGATTATCAATAGTGTTGCGCCGGCGCCGGCGTCGCGTGCACGCGCGTGACAGCATCGAGGGCTTTCTCCCTCCCTCAATCTCATCTTCTCCTTTGCTGCTTCTCGATCCCCAACCTCTCGTCCGGTATGCCGTTGATTCTGGTTTTAGGGTTCGTCTCAGAGTGTGCTCTGTCGCGAGGAACGTTGTCTCCGGTGGTGGTTCTGCTTCTTCTCGAATCGTGGTGAGGCTGTGGTGGTGGTGATTCGCTGTGACAGTAAGCTTTTAGGGTCGTGGGAGCAGTGGTTTCTGCTTTAATCTCCCCCGTGTTTTTCGTCGTACTGAGTGGGTGAAGGTTTGGTTCACTGTTTTGGTTTAGCGACGACTTGCTGTTGCTCTCAAGACGGTGACCTCTTGGTTGCAGCGACTGGTTTTTAGATCCCTTTCGGTGTTAATTTAGCTCGTTTTTTTTGCTGTGTAATCAAGCGAGATCCTTGGTTACTCTTGGTGGCGAGTTCTAATGTGTTGTATGCATGAGGGTTGGTACTCGTGTAGGTCTAGTGCGTAGTTGTATCTGGTGGTCGTCTATGGCCATCTTTGGTGGCTCCGTGCTTGGCTTCATCGCTTTGGAGCCCCTTTTCTCGTCTCTCTGTCTCAGCTCCTCTCTATGGAGGCGACAGCTTCCGATTTGGGGATTAAGTCTCTCGGTTTATTTGTTTTCCATTCTGTTGACACAAGTTATGGTTTCTAATATACCATGAGTTTGACATGTTTTTAATCATGGTATATTGATGTTTTTATTAGTGTTTATTATATTATAGAAGCTTTTAAGTATATTTATTGGTTCAAGAATATTTTGGAAGAAAATGATTTTTTTTGGAGCATTTTAGAGAAAATTGGAGAAATCATTCGATTTAGAATCGACCACGACGTTCGAGGTCGACATGGAGTGACTCACATCGATCGACCTTCACCTAGCATAATTGATTGATGCCGAAGGCGCGGAGACCAATTCGCGAGACAAGCCAACTTGAAGGCCAAACATTACCAAATGATGATTTTACCCCTGATGAGTTTTAACCTAAGTTTATATACTCTGGGAAAGTGTTAAAGGCAGGGATAGCTTTTTTTTGTATTCTTTTCACAGCAAAAGGTTGTAAGATTTTAGTTTGAGAGAAAAGATCAACAGAGAGGTTTTTGATTGGAACTCCATTGTTTTCTATCTATCTATACTATGCAGTTTTATTATTTTGCTTGTGTTATGAATTGCTTAGCCATGCCTGAGTACTTCACTTATTAGAATTAGGATTTAAATAGGTTAGTGGGATTAGCCCCAACTATAGGATCGCTTGTTGTGGTATTCATTAATAGGATGTTCTTAACGCTTATGTTCTAGACTTACTAACTAGAAACCTGAATCTAGGATTGTTAGGTTGTTTAAATATCTTTGAGTAACTCTGATAGTCTTGAACACATCCTCATTAAGCTAGGATTTTACTGGAAATAGATCGAAAGTTTGATCTAGGGATCCATAGTTAGTCTTTGTTAACTCGCGTGTAACGCTTGACTAGCTGCATCGATCGATATTCCCATAAGAAATAAATCGATGTCGAGTAAAGTGAATCGGTCAATCTTCCTCTAGAATAATCTATCGACACTGTCATTGATTGGACATTCTTGTCTTGGTCAACAACATTCTAGTCAATAGGCTTATTTATTAAATAAAAGTTTAGTATATCTGTTGTTAAGATAGTTAATGATCTTTAATACCATGCAAAAAACTAGATAGCACCTATAGGATTATAATCTCCAATACCTGAATAAAAACCCTAAGTCTAACACATTTCCATTTTAGTTCAAAACCCTCATTCCATTCTTCTTGAGTAATTGTCTTGCTTAATTAGAATATTCATATTTACTATTTACTTGTTTACTGCGATTTACTATTTATATTCACCTAGTTTTATTTATTGATTAGATTCAATAGGTTCCATAGATTTTTGTGGATTTGATCCCTAAGTACTGCAATAGATCTCTTAATTGAGAGAGTAAGTTGCTCCATAGGGTAAATTTGAGCAAATATCAGTTTCTCCACAGAGCAGTTCCGATCCTTAGGTTCTCGAAAGTTGCAAATGTTTGGATGGCTCTTGGGAGTCATTGGTCGTCCTGGGGTCTACATTTTTTCATAGCTCACTTCCCAGCACCGTGTTATGATCATTTGGTCCTTTGTGGTGGTGTAGCTTGTTGAACTGCACAGGTGGTTTAGAGATTTGTTGGCAGAGAGTGGCTGAGATCCCAGCCAATTTTCTTGCAGGTTCGTGGTGGCTTAGTCAGGTGTACAGATCGGTTTTTTTGGAGATCTTCTTGGTGAGGGTCCCTTCGAACCTCCTCTTCTATTATTCACTTAGCATTTCATCGACTGTGATGATTATAAGTCTCGCGGAGTTCATCGGGATTCAGCTACTCCGGAAAACGATTTGGAAACTCCCAGCATTCGAGGTAACAAGGAGAACCTCACTTTTCTAAGGTTTTCGTCAATGGTTGAGAACGACAATCGATTTATAAGGATTTTAAAAGCTAACTAGCGGAACGTGTCGTGTTTAGTGGGTGGACGAAGCTAGGAATGTAATTGTATGAATTGGGAATTTTTGTTCAAATCGGGCTTGTAATCGGATCTGAATTCCCGTTTTTGGGTTGAATAAAGTTTCAATTTAAAAAAAAAAGATTATCAATGTGAACTATTTTTTATGAAATTACGTTACATATAAAAAAAAATTATTACTTTGAAAGTTTTTTGTTGTTGTTCAGAGATATGTTTAAAGGGATTATTATTATTTTCTGATTTTTTTTTCAATTAAATCATATTATAGATACATATATTTTTGTTTTAAAATTCAGCTTTAAACTTTATAATTTTTTCCTTTTTATAATATATTGTAATTTGGAAAAGGTAAAAAAACTACGTTTAAAAACCTAATTACCAAAAATAAAATTAATAGTACATAAATATAATTTTTTAATTCATAGTACTTAACTTATAAATATTAATAACCAAACCTGTACTCCAGCTTTTCTCCAACACTTTTCAATCTTGTAAACTCCATCATATCTCACACTTTTCTTCGCAAGGGGATATGCAAAACGCTTCTCCTTGTATGACCTCGTAATTTACAAGAGGCTGAAGCATTAAGACAATTTAGGCACACATTATCAGTGGAAAAGAATGATAAAACTAGTCCATATCACCTAAAGGTAGAGAAAGACTGCAGAAACCACGAGGGATTAACTTGAAGACTTTTACATGATATCCCATCTTGCAACTAATCCTCAGAGCTTCATTACTTTGTAAGCCTCTGATCAAAACCCTGATCTTTTTTGGTTCTCTTGTTCACGGTCAGATCTCTTCCTTCACGACAAGACATATTCGGAACATACGTTGTGGCAGATACACAAAAGAAAGAAAAGGACTAACAATATGAATCAATGGAAAACCTTCCACTGTATAGAAACCATCCTCCATGATTCTCACCATCCTTGTAACCACCAGAGAGGGACACAGGCTGAGCTTCATAACTCGACTGTCCACTAATGCCAGCAACATGCGAAAGTGAGCTCCCTATTGCCTACACTCTAGTGTATCTTCCCAAGATTCTCCAACTAAAACACCTTTTTTTTTTTTTCTCAAGGTCACTTTCCCCTAGAATAAGACCAACGTGATCAGATGGTACAGTCACATATATCTTTCCACTGCAAGCATTACTTTTCCAGTTTTTTGCCCCTCTTAGTAGTAAGTGCTTTCTCAGGCCGGTCAGTGTTCATGATGAACTGGTATGTTTTTGTAGTCTTAGTTAGACATTTGATTTTATATAGAATATTTAGTCGGTTCAGTTATTTTCTATAACTCTTTTGATTATTTTGTTATGTGTACATTAGATTGTAGGAATGGTTTTTATTATTAAACCCAAAATTTAAAAATATACTAAGATTAATAATAATTTTTATTATTATATTAAGATTAAAGACTAATATCTTTTCAGAATAGCTTAGACAAATGTTGTTTGAAATCTATATATACTAAGGTTAAAATTTTTCATTTTTAAATAAATAGAAATTGATAGGTTTTTAGTTGACTAATCAGACCAAACATAAAATATATTATATATTTTTTAAATTTTTTTGTTATTTACTCAGTTTAAAAAAATATAAAAAACTAAAATTAAAGAAAAAAAAATATTAATTAAAAATATGAATTTAATAATGACACAGTATTGTGTCTTTAGTTATTTAAATATCTCAACTTATGTTATCTTAACAATGTAACTGTGTATAGTAGTTTTAGTTCATTAAAGCTATTGGTTTATGTTCATTTTTCTTCTTTAATTTATTAAAAATATTGGTTGAAATAAATAGATTTTTTATTAATTTCTAATATTAAATATCTATTGTGATCTTTGAGACTATGTTTCTAAGGACAGATTAATATTTAAAAAAAAAAGTATTATGTTTTGTGAAATTTCCATTTTATGAAATCAGTTATCTATATCTATGTACCAGTGTAAAATATAATTATATAATTTATAATTTTTTTCTTTAATTGTAAGATTTTAATCGTATACTAAAGATTATGAAAAATCATTTCAATAATACTAATTATAAAAAATTTTAGTCAATTAAACCAACATATCAGTTAATATTACTTAAATATTTTATGTAATTATCTAAGAAAATAGATAGATATAAAGATAATATCTCTATTACTTGGCAGATATATGTATTTTATACAGTTTAAAATTATGTTTTAAATGTAATAATATATTTTTAATATCAGGATTATCTTTGTGAATTTTTTTATGAAACTACAATATATACAAATATATTATTCTTTTCATTTAAGAGAAATATAGATCTAAAACAAGTATTATATTAATCTGAAAATATATTTTATGTTGTTCAAAAGTATGTTTTAAAGGGAATATTATTATTATTATTCTGCACTTTCCTTTTTAATTAAATCACACTATAAATACATATATTTTTGTTTTAAAATTGAATTTGGAACTTTAAAAATGTTCCCTTGTTGTTGTATATTATTATTTGGAAAAAAATAAAACTTAAGTTACATTAAAAATCTAATTAACAAAAAATACTAAATAAAATAAATAATAGTACTTATATATAATATATTTTTAATTCGAAGCACTTAAATGATAAATATTAATAACCAAACATGTACTCCCACTTTTCTCTAGCTTTCTCAATCATGTAAACTTCATCATATCCACACTTTTCTCCTTATGTGACTTGATAATTTATTAGAGGCTGAAACACTGAAACAATTTGTGTACATAGTATCACTGGAAAAGAAAGATAAAACTAGCCCATATCACCTAAAGTTAGAAAAATACAGGAGAAATTAAGAAGGATTAACCTAACTCTTACAGGACATCTCATTTTGCAACTAATCCTCACAACTTCAGTTGACTTTGTAAACTTCTGATCAAAAGCCTGATCTTTGTTGGTTCTCTTGTTCCCGGCCAGATTTTTTCCTCCACTAAAGCACACACAAAAAAAAAAAAGGATTAATCAGATGCATCAATGGCAAAACTTTTAGTGTAGTGAAAC